TGGTCACATTATTATTATTATTAGGAGTTGGAATCCAACAGCAGAGGAAGGGCCTCAATACTTCACTTCCTTGATCTATGTGATGCTGGGGGTTATGCATGCTAATGTGTACAAATGCAATAGCTCTTTTTGGTGGAAAATAAATTTTAAATTGAAGCACTGAATAAAAACATTATTTACAACATCTGAAGGGTCACAAGTTCCCTCCTCTATAATTTAGGCACCACAATACACTAGCTGCCAAGGCATGTAACAATATTCATTAAAATAAGTGCTGTATCCATTCTGCTGCAGTTCAGTTTCCATCAAATACTACATTATTCACCCTGATGTCTGCTTTTCAGTGTAAGTTGCATAACTTACATTCACTTCAAAGGAAACGCCCTAAACTATTATTTTTAAATGTGATGAAATATGTATCATTTGTGGGCTTAAAAAACAACATCAAGCATATTCATTTGACTGTTTTCAGTTCCTGACCACAGATGAACAAATGATCTTCAGCAATTTCCACATCCTTTTCTGTTTCCATCGGAATTCTCCAATATCTATAATAATCATTCTGCTATTAGTCATTTCAAACTAAATTGCTTCCTCGGTGGTGGTACCCCATTTAATAAATTTCATTCTGTCAGAGATCTGATTATCACCCATGTGGTTTGTTTTATCCAGGTGACATCTTAAAATCTGTATTTATATACAGGCCTTTGGCACAAAGCTGGGGACAGGCAGAGGAGAATTTTATATCCTAACCAATGACTGAAAGCTACATTGTTATTATATATTGGTTTTGACTATTGTTTTATTTCAGTTTTCTATGTTCGATCAATACTAGCCTCCTTTTTTGGAGGAAGGGCAGGATCTAACAAGTAATTTAAATACTTAATTGATAAACTTCAGTTACCGCCCAGTACAATAAGTCTGAATGCAGTGTAAAAACTGCACGTTTTTTGCATGAGTGTAAAAGCACATTGGGATGCGGGTGGTGCTGTGGTCTAAACCACAGAGCCTAGGGCTTGCCGATCTGAAGGTCGGCAGTTCGAATTCCCGCGACAGGGTGAGCTCCCGTTGTTCGATCCCAGCTTCTGCCAACCTAGCAGTTCGAAAGCACATCAAAGTGCAAGTAGATAAATAGGTACCACTCCAGCGGGAAGGTAATCGACATTTCCGTGCACTGCTCTGGTTTGCCAGAAGCGGCAAAGTCATGCTGGTCACATGACCCGGAAGCTGTCTGCAGACAAACACCGACTCCCTTGGCTTATAGAGCGAGATGAGCACGCAACCCCAGAGTCGCCTGCGACTGGACCTAACGGTCAGAGGTCCCTTTACCTTTAAATCACATTAGCCAATCTAATGAGGGCTGCATTAGGCCACACCCTTCAATGAAGAGATACATATGTTACAACCAGGTACCTCTGAAATTCATACTTCAGAATAAATGGTACAATATAGACAATATGGGGCAATTCTCCCAAGAGCAAAGAAACAAAAGATGCTTTAGTCCACTCATCAAAAGGCAGATCGGCTCCAGACACCTTGTATCTTTTCCCCATAGGACCTTACACAAGAGTCAGGTTAACATTTAGTGACATTTCAGAATGATTCAGAGTAACAGTTTTGATGTACAGGACTTCGCTAGGCAGGTGATGTTTAATGCATATCCTCCTAGGCAAGAAGGGAGGGGAGGGAGAACCACACTGATATTGACTAAAATCACATAATACAGGAACAATACAATTACAAGTTCCTTGATCCAGGGAGAGCAAATCCAACATGCAGCTGGGCTCAAGGTTTCCGGATGAGAATTTTGTATTGAAAATATTTGAGGGTGAAGCAAAACCAGAGGTTCATTCCAAGAGCGAAGGGGCTAGTAAAAGCCTCAAAGTCACAGAATCATAGAATCATAGAGTTGGAAGAGACCACAAGGGCCATCGAGTCCAACCCCCTGCCAAACAGGAAACACCATCAGAGCACTCCTGACATATGGTTGTCAAGCCTCTGCTTAAAGACCTCCAAAGAAGGAGACTCCACCACACTCCTTGGCAGCAAATTCCACTGTCGAACAGCTCTTACTGTCAGGAAGTTCTTCCTAATGTTTAGGTGGAATCTTCTTTCTTGTAGTTTGGATCCATTGCTCCGTGTCCGCTTCTCTGGAGCAGCAGAAAACAACCTTTCTCCCTCCTCTATATGACATCCTTTTATATATTTGAACATGGCTATCATATCACCCCTTAACCTCCTCTTCTCCAGGCTAAACATGCCCAGCTCCCTTAGCCGTTCCTCATAAGGCATCGTTTCCAGGCCTTTGACCATTTTGGTTGCCCTCCTCTGGACACGTTCCAGTTTGTCAGTGTCCTTCTTGAACACTGGCAAAGTTGTTGGGTTGTGTGTGTTTTTTTTGGGGGGGGAGCTCAGATCTAGTGTCCAAATGTAGCCCCATGGGCCTCTCCATCTCGCTCTCAGGACTTTTCTCCCCCCAAAGCCACACCTCTTAAATACGTCTGCTTTGTACCTTCCTCCAGTTCTTTTGTCTGACTGGAATTTCTCATTGACTATAATAATTACTCTGTCTTGCCTGGATGGAGAGTTGTGTATGTAAAAACCTCTGACTTCTGGGTGGTTGGACCGTAGGCTACTGTTCCTGAGTAGCATGGTGGGTTCCTTCTGCCCCACCCGCTGCTGGTATGTGGGTGCCGGGGAAATTGACCATGAGAGAGGGCAGCCCTTGGTCTGAAGAGCCACAGTGCCAATGGTTCCCAAGGCAACCACTTATGCATTGCCAAAAAGCAACAAAGCAAAGAGGGAACTTGGTATCTGCATATAATGTTTAAAGGCTACTGCATATGTGCAGGTGCAAATTTAGAAATGATGCCTGGAATTTAAATAAAAATGGAATATACCTCACCTCTGAGGGAGCAAGACTGTGGCCTAGGTAATCTGTGTTCCTGCTCTGTCTGCTGGCCACTTGTTAACTGCTGAGGAGCACCTTCAAGGCCCTGCTCTCCCTTCTGATGTTAAATTGATCTTAAAACTGGACTTGTTTCAGATAGCCCTTTACACAGAGAACCAGGTTTTGATTGCAAGCAGCACAATATCAGCAAGATTCCCGTTTGCACTGTTTTAACCAAAGTGTATATGTGCTGGTACACAAAGATAACTTAAGCAGGGGACGGGGCTGAAAACTGAATCAAATCTCATGTATGCAGCAGTCTGGAAAAACAAAAAACTAAAACAAGAGTAGAAATAGGGGAAGCAGCTATTCAGATGAGGAAAATTTTGTAACCAACCCCTGTCCAAGTGATGGCCCAGTATCCTCTGAAACATTGCAAGGGAGTACTGCTCATGGCAGCAATCACTGGCTGCAGACTAAATTTCATCATCTTAACCAGGTTTGCAATAGCTCAGACAGACATTTAGTTTCTCTTTGCCATCATACCAAAGAAACATCGAGGCAATAACTTTAGAAGCAGACTGTATTTATTAAATATAACAAATCAGAGGATCTGCAACAAGCCAATTTAAACATATTTAACTAAATTAAATTTATCCGGGCAGGTGATTTGCAGCAAATGGGGAAAATTATATGTCCTGGACATTTTCACAGCCACGTACTGTGGCCACATGGCAAGGATTAGAAGAAATTTCTCTCCCTGCAGCATGCACTTTATGTGTGAATCCGGCAGGCACACCACAAACTTGCCCTAGTGTGCCTGCTAGGCCCCCAAACAAATAATGTTTCTAGTATACAATTAACAATTCCTTAAAACTCCTCACCTTCCCAGACTAAATGCCAAATGAGTCAAATAATAAACAAATACCACAAACAACACTCAACAGTGTGAAGTAGGCTATAAAGTCCCAAATCCAAAATCCTACTCAACCGTAAATAAAGTGACTAGCGAAGCACACACTGTAGGGAGGAAGGACAGGTGCCAAACAAAGGAAGAGTGTGGGACAGAGACAGCTTAAGTAGCCTGGTCTCCATCTTTTCCATCATTGGCTAATTGGCGTCCTTGCGCCACAGCATGCTCCACCCCAGACCAAACCACCTCTCCTCTTCTTGTAGGCGTGGAGTGTGTGGTAAATTCACGCTCCACTCAAGAGGGTATATGACATTCCCACGAAATTAGAATTCCAGAATTCAAATGCACATTTTTAAGAGTCACAAAACGGCTACCCCTGTGCACATGCTCATAACTGACATTTATTGGCTGGAGGAACATGAGGGTTTGTAGGGTGTGTGCAGCGAGACCACAGCCATGAATTTTCTTTCAGTTCCAGCACAACCGCCATTAGTATGAAAATGAAAATCCCACGATCACTCTCTAAAAGCGGTGACATATGATCAAAGGTGCAGACAATCTGCTACAAATTCACCTTTAAAAACCTTGGCTCAAACAGCAACTATATCACTGGTAAGTGCAGAAAGCCCCTTTGATCGCACATCTTCCCTTTCTGTTGTATTGTGCAAATCATATTGTGCATACTGACTCGATATTCTTTTGAGCCGAGGGAATTCATTTTGCCTAATCAAGTGGAGAAACCATGGTGATGAATGTATGCACAAGGGAGCAAGATAGAAGTAAGCCATTATATTATCTTTAAAATATTAAAGGCTGACCCTGAAGTCAAGGAGAAATATTCATATATGGAATTATCCTGAATCATTTAGTTTTGCTGTCTTTTGTCTTTGCTGTTATTGCAACAAACAAAAGGAAATGGTTCTGAAAATTGACAGTAAAAGCACAACTAATCCTCAAGAATGTTTGCTAGTTGAACTAAATGAGGGAAGTTGTGGGTTGTATACACGCTCTCTTAAGGTAATCATGGCTTTGATCTACAGTATGTTGCTTATGTTTATTACAGCAAAAAGATGTGGGGGGAATCATCCAGGTAAACAACACAAGGTCATTCCAAACATGACCCTCAGGTGGCCTATGAAATAACAATAAGGAATAATAATAATAAGAGAGTGCCTCAGCTATAGAATTAATTCCTACCTTATTCACTGCACAATCATCCATGACAATTCCTTTTTGAAACAGGACTTCTCCGGAGAGCTGAGAAGATAATGGTAAGGAAACAATATACAGCTCTATTATTATTCGTTCAAACTCTGCAGTCCATCTAGGTACAAGACATTCACCATCATTTGCAAATATAATATATATTAAACAATCATTTGCCAAGATCATCATTAACAAACACCTCACTAGCAGCTCAGCAGTTTTTGTCTCTAGCAAATAAAAACAATTAGTTCTCCTCCCCACCAAGTGCACAAAGTGGGTGGTATTTTACTCAGAGTAGACCATCTGAAATTATTGAAATTTAATCATGCTTGTTAAGTTCAGTGGGTCTACTCTGAGTACCACTCATTGAGTTCTTTTCCCCTGCTCTTCCAGCAAACCCAGCCATTACCTTAAATGGGAAACCCAGGTTTGTCTCGCAAGCCATTGAGCAGAGGAAGCCAACAAGTTGCCACCATATGTTGTTGGGTTACAACTCCCATCATTCCTGTTCACTGGCCAGTGTAGGTGGGGCTGATGGGAGCTGAAGTGCCATTTTTACTACTGCATCACAGGAAGACCCAGAGACCTCAAGTCTTCCTCGGTGCAACATCCACAGTCTACTTGCGTTCCAAGATATAGGAGGATGGTGGTGGATTGTGCTGAGAACTTTTGCAAATAATTTTAAATAGTGTCTCTAATTACCAGGGTTCTTTATTCCTTGCACAATGTAAAAGCAATATTCAATGTGATCGAATTTTTTATGGTAACTGTAGGTGAAAAAATATGAACTGTTAGGCACTGGGATGGGTAAGTATGTCAATTTCTAATCCTTTTCACTTACACTTATTTAAACATATTTTTCTGTTCCATTCCCCTCATTAATCTGAGCTTTTTTTTTTTAAAAAAAAAATACTCTTCCAAATTGTATTTTCTCTCAGAACATGTATTCAAATATGTATTTTGCTATGTTCAAACTGTAAAGAACTATGTTGCAACAATCAAAGAGAAGTGTGAAATCTAGTGGACAGCCAAGTTCTGATCTACGCATTAGATACGATTCAAGTCATTTCATATAGGAATTTGCAAAGATCAAATTACTTTTTAATTTTTTAAAAATAAGTTTTACAGAAAAAAATGGCATGTGAAATTGGGGGCCAAATTCAACTATTCAGGTCTCTCTACGTACGTAGGGACCATGAGGGTCATCTAGTCCAACCACCTGCAGTGCAGGAATCTTTTTACACAATGTAATAATAATAATAATAATAATAATAATAATAATAATAATAATAATAATATATTTTTATTTATACCCTGCCCTTCCCAGCCAAGGCCGGGCTCAGGGCGGCTAACAAGCAATAATAAAAACAAGTTGAATGAATACAACTTAAAAAACAAGATTAAAATACAACAATTAAAATATTGAAACATTAAAATATTAAAATGCAGCGTCATCACACGAGGAGAAAGGAAAAAGAAAGAGGGGGAGGGAATCAAATTGGCTCCAAGCCAAAGGCCAGGCGGAACAACTCTGTCTTACAGGCCCTGCAGAAAGAAATCAGATCCTGCAGGGCCAGAGTTGAAAAGGCCCTGGCTCTGGTTGAGGCTAATCTGACTTCCTTAGGGCCTGGGACCACTAGGGTGTTGCTATTTAGGGACCTTGAGGCTCTCCGTGGGGCATACCGGGAGAGGCGGTCCCGTAGGTAGGACTCAAATCCATGACTCTGAGATTAAGAGTTTCGAGCTCTACCAACTGAGCGATCCCAGACCCCCACTGATACTTGTATGGCTGGAATATTGTGCATGGTATGGAAGTAAGGCCACATTTCTTGCTCCATCCATCTTTGCCTCTGGTCCTACCCATCACTGGAATGTGGCCTCTGGATGGTTTCCCACAATGAAATGCTGCCTTCGGCCTGGGAGGGAGGAACACTCCCCATCCTTGCCTACAACGAAATGCTGCCTTCGGCCTGGGAGGAACACTCCCCATCCTTGCCTATGGAAACACTGTGGATGCTGGCACAAAGCTAACGGTCATTTATCTTGATGTTCATCACTGCTTCTTATGAGAGTGAACTCCATAGTTTAGCTATGCACCGTGTAAAGAAGTACTTTATTTCATTTGTCTTGAATCTTCTCATGTGGAATGGCCCTGACTACTAATATTATGGGATGTTCCCCACATGATGCATTGTTCTGTACAGTGGTACCTTGGTTCTCAAACACCTTGGTACTCAAGCAACTTGGAACCCAAACACTGCAAAGCCAGAAGTCAGTGTTCAGGTTTGCAAACTTTTCCCAAAAGCCGAACATGCTCCATTTTGAGTGCTACACTTCAGTTTTGAGTGTTACGCTGAGGTGGGTTTGTCTCTTTTTGTGTGTGACTGTGTAGATCCCAGTTCACCTACTGATTGATTGATTGTGTGACTGCAGTACTTTGCTTATTGCTTTCATTTTATGGATCAATGGTCTTGTTAGACAGTAAAATTCATGTTAAATTGCTATTTTAGGGGTTGTTCTTAAAAGCCTGGAACAGATTAATCCATTTTGCATTACTTTCTATCGGAAAGCGCGCCTTGGTTTTGGAACGCTTTGATTTTGGAATGGACTTCCAGAAAGGATTAAGTCTGAGAACCAAGGTACCACTGTACACATTCTATACACCTCTTATCCTTTTCTCAAAAAGCGAGGAGCTGCCCCATCTCCTTGAATATTTGGGTTGCCCTTTCCTGAATTTTTTTCCAACTACCATATTATTTTTTAGGTAAGGCAACCAGAACTCTACACAATATTCCAAGTGTGGTCACATCACAGCATTATGATATATGGAATTTTATTTTTACCCCTTTCCTAATGATCCTTAGTATGGCATTCACCTTTTTCACAGCTGCCATAACTGATTCAACATCTTCAGTAAACCACAAAGTCTCATGCATGGCCTGCCACCTCCAGTTCAGACCCCACAACGGTAGATATGTGTGAACATGGGCCCTCCACACTAGTGGGACAGAGCTTCATCACTAGCTTGTTTGAATGTTTGATTCCTTATTTAGTTTCTGCAGCCCTTATTAAAAATACCTCTAAGTAGTATACAGAAAACTGAAGCAACAACAGACAACCTCTAAGTAGTATACAGAAAACTGAAGCAACAACAGACAACTTAAACAGTTACATTAAAAATAACATTACATTATCAATAACATTATCAAATGTTACATAAATCAATATCAATATTTTCCAAGTGTGTTGCTGTTTGTTATGGGGACGGAAGAGGAAGTGGAGAGCTTGGAGTGGTGTGGGCAAATGGTGGGAGAACTGAACTGGCTTAAATAGTGTGTCCACACTACACTAACTCCTCATCCCTCTCCTGGTAAGTGGCAGGTGACATACTTGCCTGAAATCTAGTATGGCAGCTGTGCCTCACTAGGGAAGCTGCTCCTGCTCCTACCCTACAACATTTTGTTTCAAGTCCCATTGTACTATCTATGCCTGCATTCTGTGCATTTACTGTGGTACCTCAGGTTAAGAACTTAATTCGTTCTGGAGGTCCGTTCTTAACCTGAAACTGTTCTTAACCTGAAGCACTACTTTAGCTAATGGGGCCTCCCGTCGCCGCCACGCCACCGTCGTACGATTTCTGTTCTCATCCTGAAGCAAAGTTCTTAACTTGAGATACTATTTCTGGGTTAGTGGAATCTGTAACCTGAAGCGTCTGTAACCTGAAGCGATTCTAACCCGAGGTACCACTGCATTTTGTCATGTAGTTAGCGGCTTGCTTCATATAAAGCCATTAGCTTGCATTCACTTGTAGCTCCTACTTTCTACCTGTAACACACTAAGATGAGCATAAGATGAGCCTTGTTGGATAAGGTCAACGACCCATCAAGTCCAGCATCCTGTTCACACAGTGACCAACCAGGTGCCCCTATGAGAAGCCCACAAGCAGGACATGAGAACAGCAGCAGTCTGCCCACCTTTGACTTGAAGCAAATGGTATTCAGAAGTGTTACTGCCTCTGATAGTGTTGGCAGAGGATAGCCAAAATGGCTAGGGGCCATTGATAGCTTTTTCTTCCATGAATTTGTATAATCTACTTTCAAAACCATCCAATTATATCCAGATTGTGTTGGTCCTGCCATTGTCCACCTGACCACCTACATTCTACTACCCCAGCTCCACCCACTCATGTGCAGGAGTTTCCTTATTTAGAGAGCACATTTTAACCAACAACAACCCACCCCTATTTTGCTCCTATTTGTAGGGCATGCATTTTGCTTCAGAAGTCGTGTTTTGACTCATATGCAAATATATGCAAATATAATTGATCCATCAATCCTGTGAGGATTCAAATGATGAATCAACTAAGATGTCCGTAATCAGGTGACAACCCCAGTTCAGAGGATGCGCAAGTTTCAGCCCTAGCCCATCACCTAGCCAGTCACTGCTTTAATCGGAGAGCTATGCACCATTAAACAACTTCTCACTTCATCATCAAAACTGTCTCTTAGAGTCTCCCCCTCATGTGCAAGGGAAATAATGTATACATACACACATATGCACTATTGCAAAAAAAAAAAGGTGGAGGATTCTTTCTTTAATGAAGGAAGAAAGAATGATCATAAGTGCTAGCAGGGCTTTATTTTCAGCTGGAACATGTGGAACCTGGTTCTGACACCTCTCAGGTGGTCACCATTGCCATTATAAGAGAACAAGGGAGCTGTTCATGGTGAGTTCTGGCATCTCTTTTTCTATAAAAAGAGCACTGAGTGCTAGGATCTGAACTAACCTGGCACAGCTCATTAAACCCTATCTTTGGAGAGAGAAAGGAGAAGGAGGATATTTGCTGTTGCAATTGAAATGCCCTGAACACGCCAAGGTTACTTTTCGATGGGACGTTCTGTACATGTCTAGTTAAAGTTTCAGTCTGCTATGTGCACTCACTAGATCTCATGAGATGGAGGAGAGTTTGAGGTTTTAAAATGCCTTGCCCATAAGGGTTCAGGTTCATTTTGCCCCACAAGATTCCCACCCACAGACCCACCCTCCATGCT